GGGCGGGGGGGGTGGTGTGTGTGTGTGAGGGGAACGGCGGCGTGAAAGAGGTCGCGGAGGGGCGGTGGCGGGAAGGAGCGCGTGCGCATGCGCAGGGGAGGGGTCGCGTGCCTGAGGTGAGGGGCGTGTACATCCGGGTGCGGCGGCGCACGCGGCGGAGCGGAGCAGGGCCCGGTCGGACCCTGTTGGGGCCTTCTGAGCGTAGGAGCCGGTACGGCGGGACCGGGGGCGCCTCGCTTCAGCGTCCTGGGCTGGCGTTTCTTATTCACGACATAGAAACAGGCGTTCCTGGTGGGCGACCGTTCCCTGCCTGCCCCTGCCGTGCCCTCTGTCAGCTCTGGTTTTAGCCTGAGGGGTGCGGAAGGTGTGGGCCGCGGCCCCGGGACTGCCGCGGCCGCCTCTGTGACCGGCCCGAGGAGATCGTCAGGGGCCATAAGAGGTCACCGCCTCATTTAATAGCAGTTTTGGGGTTTCATAAGGCATAATGCCTAATTCTGTAATTTGTGCAGTCACAGTGCGCCGTCTGGAAAGGCACCAATAACGATGGAGATGTTTTCATTGATGGCTTGTTCCGTGTGCTTTGTTGCTTTCACTGCAGCCAGAGACACTGCTGTGTTTCAGCTTTGAATTCATAGGGCTTCAGCTTCCAAAATCAGATTTTTATTTTCTTGCCAAATAAAAAAGACTTTACTGCAAAACACTTGCCTTTGTTGGGTGACTTGATTAATCTTTTTTCATTATCTCAGTGTATGATGTAGTTAAGATTCTAAAGCATTCTGTGAGATCTGTTTGTTTTCTGCACCTTTTAATTTTAAAATATCCTTCTTAAAAGGGTATCTTTCTGTACAAAGGGAACTGCCGTGAGAATACTACTTGCACTGATAAAACTATTATTTTTTGACTTCTCTTTCACTCAAAGAGTCATCCAAAACTCCCCACTGAACCAGGTTACTGCTGCTTAGAAACACAACTGTTAACATGCTCAAGTTCTTCTCGTTGCTTTCCAGGATATCCCTTTCTTCCTCCCGCCATCCCACACGGCCAGCACCTGAGTGGTTCCTTTATTTCAAGCCATAGAGTGTTTCAGTAGCCTGTATTAAAACACATTTCGTATGATGCAGGCTTAGTTAAGCAAGCTGGATGGCCCTGCTCTCATTTACTATATTTATTACTTTAATGTCATTTTCTGTAGTCTCTGCAAATAATATCAGGCAGGTACTTCAGATCACTGAGGAAAAAAACAGGGGAGGCAGGGGCAGTGATACCCGTGAACTACAGAAGCAAAAGGTTACTTAATAGTGTTTTTTTTCTCATTGAATGTTAGTTATCACTTTGTTAATTCATTTATCTTGTTCCGTTGCGAATGTATGGGCCTCTTTTTTTCATCAGTTCTAAGTTAACTGCCTTTCAGATGCCTAATTAAATTACCTCTCAAAAAACTTGCCTTTAGCTACCAAATGTAATCCTATCAAAGAATGAAATCAGGTTTTTGGAATGCAAGGTCTCATTTCTTTCTGAAGGCTAAGGTTGGGTAGGCAGTATTTAGATTTTTTTTTTCTTCTTCTATTTCCCAGTAAAAAGTATACCGTATTTAATGTTCTCTGCAGAAGTGCAGCATTGGTCAGTATGGAAAAGGGGGGCTGAAGCTGCCGTGACCCTTTCCTGCAGCTCCTTTTGGGCTGCCTGCTCGCTACAGCCCAGCTACAGGCAGGGAAAAGGCAAAGAACAGCAGTGGCCTCTGGTGGTTATGGGATGGTTCTGTGCTGAAAAACAAGGCTGCCGGTGGCTGCAGCAGCCAACTGCAAGGACATGAGACAGGGTGACAGCTGGTCACAAGAGTTCAGTTAGACCCTAGGGACAGGAGTTAAAGCCGAAGAACCCCAACTGAATCAGTGCCTAAAACAACTTTGCACAAACTCCTGGTTTTCACTACTTCTCCTGATTCTGTTCTAACTTTATCATCAGGATTCTCCTTTTTTTTTGTTTGTTTGGGGTTTTTTGTTGAGGTCTTCTGCATTGGGATTAAGAACTTTGAATCTTGAGGTTTGTTTCAGTTTTGAAAAGAACTGATGTGCATTTGACAGGAATGTAAGTGGGATTGTATGTGCAGGCAGCTTCTGTCTGTACTGAGAGTAACCAAAATTGTACCTCATTTTCAAGTCTCATGCAAAAGCCAACTTTCATTTCTATTTTAGCTTTTCAGTGTTGCTCCCCTGCATGTCTTTCAGTGTCCAGCAGCAGTACGTACAGTCATGCTTAATTTTGTACTGCAAAAGTCTGTGCATCCTCTGTTCCAAATTTATGGGGTATGTTTGTTGTTGCCGACAACTGCATCACACACTCATTCTGTACGAAACTAGCTCTGCATAAAAGTAGAAAAGACATCAGTTTTATTTCTGATCCTCAAGGTGCCTGTGGTGCTGGGAGACAAATAACAGTTTATGCAGAGTGTATTGAATAGATGTTGAAAACCATATGAAAATAACTTTTTATTAATAAAGAAATTCAGTGGTAAATCATATGCTTAAAATACTGTCTTTAACTTGACAGGCATTTTCAATCTATTGAAGCTCTTTAAACTCTGAGTAATTTCCCTTCTTTGTCTGTGTGATTGACGTAATGTTTTTCACCTGCACTTTGCAACAGGAAGAAAGGCACCGCATGCGTACCTAAAACTGTTGCTCTACTTGTTAGTGAATCTGTTGTCTACATTTGCAGAGATGCTGATATTTCAAAATATTTTAAATTTGTTGTGTTTTTAAATAGTAAAATAACCTATTGCAGTCTTTCTCTAGAAAGGCTCTGGCATGACTGTGGAGGTGCTGCACAGGAAGCTTGTCAGTTTTGGGGTGTGCCCCAGCCTCGAAACCTGGTGCCTCCTCAGGTGAGAGCCCAGCAGACCATTACTCATGCTCTGCTGTCCATGCAAAGGAACCACGAGTCTGTTCCCCAGATGGAATCTGTAACGTAATGCAGAGAGTGCTAGATGGTTGGCCTTTAACTCTTTTTGTCGTGAATTTTATCTGGTATTGCTAATTTCTAGGAAGAAAAGCAGCCAGAGTGTCAGCCCTGAAAATATGCAGCGTTAAAAGTTATGCTTGCTTTTTATCTACAGATGAAGAATATAGCGACAGAGAGAGGTTAACACAAGGCCACAGAACAAATTGAATTCTAGGTTTTACAACCGACTAGTAGTACTTGATGTGCTACTAAATTTTAAGGCAAACTGATGCAATCCAGTGAGCCATCTCAGTAAAGCTACTTACTAAGTAGGATACTATTTACTGTTACAGTTGTCAGACCCTTACTGTTACAAAATACTATTTTCAGCTGCTAATGGCTTTGCCACACTTGAACTGTTTGGACTAAAATTCCCATGCCAGCTGTCTAACTTCAGTCTGGGTTCGGTTGATTTGAACAAACTGCTTCTATTTGTCAGATTATGTTTCAACCTTTTTTTTTTTTTTTTTTTAAGAGGGCACATAAAATTATTTGCTGCACTCACTGGTGAAACTAATGATAAAAAATTTTGACTGTAGCATGGATTTTAAGTCAGCATGAGTCCATTAAACTCTCCAATAAAACTTCAAATTTATCCTTTTATATATGTTTAAATAATATTGATTAGAATGTGCTGAATCATTTTCTTTTCATTTTAAGGAATTGGATCATGTAACAGCAGTCTGTCCACCTTTTCCAAGCTGGGAAAGGGAAAGTACAGTACTTTCCGTGAGTTAAAGCTGTAGGTGTGTAGTACTCCAGGTTGGCAGATCCCTCCACATTTTGCTTAAAATCATGACATTTAAATAAGTATAACACCTTTTGAATTCTCATGTTTTAGCTTTTGCATGTCTGAATGCTTGTGAACCAGAAACAAAATGTACTTCTAATGAATGTATTT